GCTAAGCCATCAAAACCAGCAAGTAGGCCAAATTTGCGCTCTCAAATTAATATAAAACAGAGAGATATCTCAAAAGAGATAGAAAATAAAGGCTGTCCAAAAGGGTTCGGATAACTAGGCCACAAAATAAAAAAGACTGTGTTGGTTACTTTTCTCTCTTTGCTGAGACAAAATATCTGATGCCCCAAATTAAGGAAGGAAAAGTTTATTTAGCTCATAGTTTGTGTAGGTTTCAGTCTATATGCAACTGGCTCCAAGGCAGGGCGGCATTGCAGAAGACTAACAGTTCATGATCAGGGAAAGCACCAAAAGTAGCAAGAGCAAAAAAGGGGTAAAAGGGAGGGTAAGTCTCTTTGCCCCCCCTTATGCATTGTGCCGGCTGCCCACCCCAGGGGGTGTGCAGCACTCACACCAACAACCCCAGCACTAGACAATGAATCAATCCCAAATTCTAGTTTTACCACTCTGAAAAGCCCACCCCCTGGCTTTGGGGGAACATTCAGACACAAATCCTAATGGAGACTGTCATCATCTTCATTATGTCTACTCCAAAAGGAGAAATTCATCCTTGCTTCACAAAAGCACTGTGAGTGTGGCTGGGGATGTGACATGATGGACCTATCAATACAGAGAGGAATACAGACAACACGGAGGCCATTAAAACATAGAATGATGGTGCTTCTGCTAGAGAGAAACAGGACTACCTGAACACACAGAAAGGACATGTGCTTCAGCCCTGGGACCACAGGAACTGTCCCTAGAATAAGTGAAGTCTGACCTGAGAGCTGACACATGAAAGGACTGAGCCAGTCAAAGGGACATGGTACAAGCATCAACCTAGTAAGAAGTAAGAGTAGACATAGGAGTAAAAATTAATGTGTGAGGCAAGAACCATTAAGTGCCTGTGACTAGGCCTTATTTGTAAGATGGATAAAATGGCAAGATAAGGACCTACTGAGGTGGACAGTGGTAAAAGAAGAAAGATTGTTGGAAGCAATTATTAGGAGTTGGGTTTTTACACTAAAAATAATGAGAATCGTTAAGGGATTCTAATAGAACTGACCGAAGTTTACTGAGCACATCATGGAAAATCAATGAAAGAGTGCAAGCCTGGAAATGAGTCAGTTAGTAGTTGAATCTTTTGGTAATCCAAATAATGAAGAAATTATGCTGGTCAGAATGAGGGATCAGTAGAGAGAAAAATGATGCTTTGTTTGATGGAATTAATTGAGCGTTACAGTAAGCAACGTGGGTGACTTACCAGGTAGGGGAGAAGGAGGACATTTACAATAAACCCAGACTTCCTCCTTGAACAATCAGGAGGATAATGATGACTTTTCCTGAACTAGAATACGCTGAGAAGGGCTAGGGACACAATTTAGGACTCGACAAATTCCCAGTCTCAACAGTTCTATAACTTCAGATATGCTTTCAAAAGAGCATTTCAAAATCAAAAATATGATTGCATTACTCATTTTCTTGGGAGATTTAAAATGTTTTAGAAGCCCCCACTATGGCAAGTAAGAAAAACAAACTAAAAAACAAAGACATTGAACTACTTACTGACAAAATGGCCAAGTTTGAATTCTGTGAATCTTACAAAACTCAAAGATTACTCCTGGGAGCCTCCATACACAGAAGAGCTAGGAAAGTAGGCAAGGCCATGGAGAAAAGTGAAGGCTAATTCTAGAGAGACCATGTTAGCACAACAGATACAAGGGCTAGAAATAAGACTGAAAGGAGGTAGTGCCTGGAAGGAGGTGGGAGGGAGTCAGACTGCAGCAGAATGGCAGACAATGATGGCGTAGCTGTGAAGACAGCATCAAATGGAATATGCTTAGAAAGTGGAAATGCTGAGAAAGAGAACTCTCCTGTCTTGGTTTCTGTGAGTTTGTGGATCATGGGAGGCCAGGAAGACTTTCAGGCCAGAAAAAGAGTATCATTCTCATGATTGTATGTAAGTTAGACCCTACCTTCTCTCTAGCTTGGGTCTATAAACTTCAGCCAACTGGATACGTCTGAAAGGTCCCCAAACTACATAGTATATGTGCCTTTACAAAAGATTTGCCCAGTAAATAACCAACTAGCTGCATTTCTCAGGTAAAATTTGGATGCATCATCATTTTTGTCCAAGTGATTTGAACCATGTTCTCCTAAGCCTGTGGGTCTACACATCACAACTTGCTTCCTATTATTTTGCCAATACAATTATATTTTTCCATATAGTCTGGAAACTACTTGAAGGAAGACCAGACTTCCAGTTACCATATTCACTACTCCCCAATACAGCATGTAGAGCATATATACTTAATAATTTTTTAATGGATTTGGTATAGGGCATAGGGTCTCACTATACAGCTCAGACTTGTAGTGATCCTCCTGTTTTCAGCTTCCCCATCACTGGAATTACAGGTGTGTACCTACACACCCAGTCTCGATGGCTGGCTCAGTGCACCCAGAGGTGGGGCTGTCTCAGCATGTGGTGCCAAGGGTTGACCCCCAGTCCCTGCACTTGCCTAAGCAGGCACTTAGTTCACTGAACTTTTTTTTTTTTTTTTGAAATAAGGGATTGAACTTAGGCCCTTGCACTTGCAAGGCAAGCACTTATTCTACTGAGCTGTCTCTCCAGCCCCTCGTTGAGCTATCTTGCTGGTCCTTGATAAATGTTTTTGAATGATTATTTGTAGGTACAGATAGAGAGCTGAGACTATATACATACATATATATGTATATATATACACATATATATACACATATATATATACATATATATGTTTCATTATGACAAAAAGGTACATCTAACAATATTTTATATTTGCATAACTTTCTGATCTACAAAATATCTTTTTTGGCTTTTTTTTTTTTTTTTTTTTTTTTGGCGGAACCGGGGATTGAACTCAGATTCTTGCGTTTGCCAGTCAAGCGCTCTTTTTTGGCTTTTTAGACAGGATCTCACTATGTAGTTCAGGCTGACCTTGAACTCCTTATGTAGCCAGGTTGGCCTCATACTCTAGGCAATACTGCCTCAGCCTCCTGAGTTCTTAGATTACAAGTGTGTATAACCCTGCCCAGCTACACAATGTTTTTATACCCAATTATTCTCAGAAGTAAAGAGATCATTGTGAAAATATCAAAAACATTAAATAACCACATAACTATTTAGCAGGGCTATTGACCTGTATCAAAGAACTTAGCAACTAAAATTAAAGTCAACACTGTCAGCCAGGTGTGAAGGCACACACCTGTAGTCCCAACACTTGGGAGATTGAGGCAGAAGGACTGTGTGAGTTCAAAACCAGCCTGGACTAGATAATAAGATCAAAGCCAGCTACACAGCAAGACTCTTTCTCAAAAATAAATAAATAAATAAATAAATAAATAAATAAATAAAGGCACTGTCCCTGCCTGTGCTTGCTGGCTCTTGGTGTATCTCAGAGGAAGACTCTGAAGACTTCAAGTGACTTTTGTGAATCTCAGATGGGTCTGCTGATGAATTCCAAGTCCATGGACTTTCTAAAGAAAGTCACAGATGCTCAGAATTGCCTGCCTTTGGCTGAATGCATCTCCCAGCCAATCCAAGTCCAGAAGTTATTCTTTCTCGAAACGTGTGTTCAATATAAGGCCCTTTATCCAAGAACCGGAGCAATAAATTAAAGATCTACCATCATTTCAGTGCTTCTCTAAATGTAGGGGTGATTCTTTTAAGCTTTGAATAAAGGTTATAAAAATATCTTTAAGTTTTGATTATATTTCCTTGATAGCTGGTAATCTAACATTTACATATTAATTTTCACTTTGACTCTTATGGAAACTATTTTTTGTCCTTATTATAAAACTATTATACATAAAAATATGTTACATCTACTCTATTATAGTTAAAAACAATTTAATAATAATAAATAGCAATGTAAAGAAAGCATAGATAAGAATTCATGAAATTCAAGTTTAATCATTCTCATATAAAATAATTTAATATGCAACATATAACACTTTAGCCACTATTCTTATTTAAGAAATAAATGTGTATGTACTTACTTATATTTTAGCCTTACAGAATTTCCAGATTTTCCCCATGGAAGAACTACAAAGTCTTTGGTGTTCATGATTATTGATATTGGTAAAAAATATTTCAGTTGGTAAAATTAATTTTTCTGAAAAAGCAACAAAAGAATTACACCAGACATGAAGACATGCTAGTTACAAATTCAGAATAACACATAATTCAGAAAACCATAAAAACATATAACTGTGTGAGAAAGAAGGCTAAATCAAAGGTTAAATAGCAAAAATATTGTCATGGATACTAACTATAAATTAATTATAACATATTTGATTAACCCAAAATTACAGGAAAATTTAAATATAATAAAAGACTGGGAAAATAGTCTGTAAAGATAAAGAATGTATTCATCAAGATAAGCTAAAGCACATAGTCTAGCTCTTTCTATCCTTAAAGTTATAAAAGTTTAAGGGAACAAATTGAAAGCAAAAGCAAGCTTATTGAAGAGCTTCAACAAGAGAATAAGGTCTTGAAATAAAAGGGTGGTGGGGAGAGTAGAAAACAGGCAACTGAATGTTTATGAGATAAAGGTCAGTAAATTAGAAATAGAACTAGAAGGGGCCAGACAAAAGTTTGAAGAAATGACTCAACTACAAGAAAAAAAAAATTTGAGGATAAAAAGTTACAAGAAGAAAATTTTTTGAGATAGGTTGAGAAGGCAACAGTAAGAGCTGATGAATTTGTGTAAAATCACAGAAAGAAATTGATAAGCAATGTCAACATAAAATAGCTGAAATGGTAGCGCCTAGGGAAAAACCTGAGTGCCAATGCCATATGATGGCTGAAGAGACTCAGAATGAGGACTTCATAAGAGCTGAGAACATTACCTTGGTCTTAACCATCCAGTAGAAAAGTATGAAGACGAAATATAGGAAGTAAAGCCATGCTGTTATGTTGAGCTGTGGGGGACTCAGGTCAATAATTTCTGGCATTGCCAGTTAAACAGAAGACACAATGCTATTATGGGCTACTGGACTCTTTTAGAATATTTTGCTGAGTTTACATACCTATAATATTCAAATAACGGAACTTAGAAAAAAAGTGTATACAGATGAATGTTCATTTTGTATCTGTGTATTCAAAGTGGTTAGGATAGATATATAGTTACATTCTCTTAACTTAATGAATAGAATGATTTGTTCTAATGGTGTTTGTAAATAGGATCTCAAGTCCGTATCTTGTACAGCAATTAACCACTAAGAAGAATGTATGCAGTGTGTTAGTTATTGAAACTGTCCTACTGATTTGATTTGAAGCTGTCTCATTGCTATCTGTTTATCAATAAAATTATGAAAAAAAAGAGCTGAGAACAAGCGTAGTCCTCTGCAAGAGCATCTTTAGAGACTGAACGACCTAATCTCGAGAATAAGTGTTTGTCTATTAATAAGCAACTTGAGAGGAAAAAGAAAAACTCAAAAGAGAGGTGAAAGAACACATAGCTAAAAATCCACAAGAAAACATAGACATCTTCATGGGAAGCACCTGAAACTAGTTATAGGAAATCTGTTACTAAAGCTACTCCTTCACAAAATGTGTCTCGAAATGACTTACCAATGGACTATGGTAAACCCAAAAATAAAAAAAAATCATATGTAGCCCTCTGCCAAAAGCACTTGACACCAGTCCCAAAGGAATATACAGCAGAGACACCCACTGAACTAAAACTACAGCAAAGGGCAGAAAAGAAAAAACCCACTGAAGAAAATAATAAAAAGAAAAAAGTTTTGGGATTTGATGTGAACACAGGCACTTCAGAAGTTACTTGACTTTGGAGCCTGGTTTCTGAGGAGGACGTACTGGACTGGCTATACAACAATAATAACCCACAAGTTTCTCATCTTTGTGTCCAAACCCCAAAGGAGACCCTTTCATCTCTGACAGCTCCTGGGCCTGTGCTCAAACTTGGACATGTAAGAAAAATGCAAGAGGACCCTTGGGCTGTCACTGCTCAAATGGACAGGAAAAAGCTAAAGGAAGCAGAAGTTATTTAATTTTAAGAAAATCAGCATGATAGTGGAACCTAACAACATCAACTTTTTAAATTTAATTTTATTTTATTTTGAAAAATAAAAACAAAAGCAAGAACAAAAAATCAGAAACAAAGACAAAAACAGGGTGACATGCAACAATATGTATGTTACAGATTTTCAAAACAAGAATAGCTGATTAACAATGGTTGATAGATCATCTATTTTTATCATCAAATCTGTTATTCAGATTAACAGATATATAAAATTGGAATATGATTGCGTATTACTGCTTGCTTTCAAGAAACCTTAACTTTTTGTTCTTGTCTCATTTTTCCTTGTTTTTTTACCTTTAAAAAAATTTTTATATTAAAGAGTATAGTGATAATTGATATGACATTAGAAGTTGTATAAATTTAGAAGACCAAAATGATAGCCAAGTATTCAAGCATGGATTTTTGTATTACACATTGCTATCATCAATATAGTTGCTTGACATAAACTTAATAGTGAATTTTTTTTGTTTTCCAAAGAGCCAAATTTGCCCAGAGATTAAGATTTTAATCTCTGCACAAATAATTTTTATATTATTTTGCATTTTGACCTGAATATGAACTAGAGATATATTTTACCTGTAAACTTATTATATTCAGATAATTGTATGATTACATTTTGTTGCTTTTTCCTGTATTCAATAGCTTTCAGATTTTTAGTTTTGAATATAAGAAACGCATTATTGAGATTTATTCTTTATTCTTTACTATTAAAATATTTTGTGTGGGAGAAAAGTATATTTATAGTCACATAATCTATTCCAAAGTTTCAAAAAATGACAACCCACATATTCACTCATGATCCCTCAAGAATATTGCATCTATTGGCCTCAGATCCTTCTTTCAGTAAATGCACTCTATCATGTTTCCCCAATGACAAAACTCATCTAGTGGTGTGTGTTCTCAGAAAGTGTAATGTGTGAATATATATCACGTATTTTTTTCTTACTCAAAAATAATATACAAAGCTAAATATGGAAAAGTGAGAACTTTTAGATACAATCCAAAGCCCCAAAAAGAAAAAAATAAATTTACATATATAGCAAGGTAATGTGAAAATTAAGGTAAGTAATAACTACCATGATGCATTCTAGTGGGCTTATTTATTTAAAAAAAATTAAGGATTCTCTTTACTAAGATGATAAATTAGCATATTTCAGAAAAAAAATTTCATCAAGAAATGAAATAAAAAGGATTTTTCTTCTTAGCTCTGAGCTAAACAGAAAATTAAATTATTCAGGACATTTCCTGAGTATCCCAATTGTTCATTGTTTCTATAATAACTTATTCACCAGTGCCAAATTACCAATCACTAGATTTTTTTCATATGAATAAGAAATTTCTAAATTCCAAAGTTCTCAAATGTGGTAGAGGCTATACTCTTAAATTCCAAATGATTTGATGCTGTCAGTTTATATACAGGTTCCAAGCACTCATAACCTCAATAAATATTCACTAGAGCTCCACTCTATGCACTCATAGTGCTAGGAGGCAAGAAGTCAAGGCCTAAAGAGCTTTGTTTTCTAGATGCTCATGGCTTGGAGTCCAACAGCATACAAAGGACCTGTGTATAACACTATAAAACAAGGTAAAATCTATAAGGGCTCTAAAATGCATAGATGCAATAATCTAGAAAGTGAGAGAGGAGAGAATTCAAGCCAACTAGCTTTTAGAAGGAGCCTTGAAGAAGAAAGGTAGCTTCTTGGTGGAGGAATAACTTGACTGAATTCTTAATTGGGGGCAAAAACTCTTGAGTGGGGATTTATAACCAGCTCAATTTGTTCAGTGTGCAGAGCACATAGGAGGAAAAACTAAGCAAAGATTTCAATAGATGCAAATGCTGGATGCAAAAAAAAAAAAAAAACCTAAGCAAAGATTTCAATAGATGTAAATGCTTAGATGCCAAGTTCAAATATTGGGAATTTATTTTGTAGCTAGTGAAAAACCAGTAAAAGTTTTAGAGGGAAAAACAGAAATGAAGCCTACAAACTTTGAAGGCTTATGGAGGACAGCATGAAAATTGGATTAAACTGATGGAGGCCAACATAATGAATGTGTGGTTCTCTAATATTGTTCTTTTAGGAGACCATTCATAGTTCCAGTGGTGCAACTAACGATGAAAACACTTTTGAAATAGCTCTTTTATAACTTCAGAAGTCATTATATACCTAACATATGTATGAATCCACTGTCTTGTGCTTCATTTCAAAATGGAAATTGGATAAATTTCTGAAAATGGCTCATGTGAGCAGAGACTAATATCCAGAATATATAAAGAAACCAAACAACTCAACTACAAAATAAATAGAAATAATGCAATTCTACAATGTGCTAATGATTTGAAAAGACAGTTCTCTAAAAATGGACAAATATTTGAACAAGTACTCAATATTAACTACAGTAGTGGTTACTACAGTCAAGGGAGAAAAGCAGAAAGGAGGGAGAGAGTTTGATGAATGGGTCTGAGTTACAGTTGGATAGGCAAAATAAGTCCTGGGGAGCTAATGTACAGCAGAGTGATTACATATAATGCTAATATGCTGAATACTTCAAAAAAATCTGGAAGAAATGATTCTGAATGTATTCAAGACAAACAAATTGTAAATATTTGAGGTGACAGATATGTTTATCTTAATTTGAACATTATACAATGTATGTATCAAAACATTACATAGCAACTCATAAATATGTAGTCCTTTTGTAAATTAAAAATAAGTAAATGCTCAATACCACTTGTCATAGATCACAAATTATAAACTGAGTCCAGAGGATGTCCAAGGCCCTCCTTCCCCAGCCCTATAAGCTGAAATGTGAAACTCCAGCTTTCTCCTGGTCACAGCTAAACATCTACACTAATGATACTGTGGCACTCACAATCCAAGACATGACCTGCTGAGGATGACAAGGATCTTTAAAGCAGTGCAGGGGTTGGGATTTAGCTCTGTAGTAGAAGGCTTGTCTAGCAAGTTGGGAGCCCTAGGTTCGATCCTCAGCACCAAAAGCAAAAAGTAAACTTCACTTGAGCATATAGTATAGTAGCAGTAGTAAACGTTTCCCCCATGGGGGAAAAA